AGAGTAATCCTAATAAAATTTAACTTTTAATAGATATATAAATATTAAAAACCTTCATTTCAAGAAAAAAAAATTGTTATCTATAATAGTATAAATCCTAGAGTAATAGTAAAAAAGAATAAAAAAATAAATACTAGTAACAAAAAAATGAGATAACACTAAGAAAATCTTGATAGAAAAATATATTAATAATAATAAAGAAAGAAATCCAGAGACTGACCACGCTAAAACTGTGGACTGTATGAGTCAGTCAAACTGGAAAGTTACAATATGTAAAATAACAATATTGTAGCGATGGAGTCAATGTCCATCTAATAGTTAAAAATAACCAGTGAGGGGTAAACAAATGTAACAATTTATATGGAATAATAGAGCAGAGTAGAGTCTACAGGGTATGTTTTGAGGGCACCCCTTAAAAAAGGCTAATTGCCCCACTCCTATCAAAGTAAGACTGAAAGGGCTAACAGAAGTATGAAATAGCAAAAATGAAAAATTTAAACACACAGTGAAAAGATCCCCCCAAAAAACGAAATAAGTAAAAAATAGGTGAAAAATAAAAGAACTGAAAAATAAATAATAAACAAACTAACAACAATAGTATGGTGTGGTAATGTCCCTAATAGTATGTCTTGAGAGTATCAAAAAAATACTCACTATCCTCACAAATATAAAAATCTGTTCTGTCTACGCCACTATGCTCTGCCGAAGACCTATGTTTAACCTCTGTTTGTACTCCTACCTCTGATGCTCGCCTTACAGACTTCTCTAGGGCTGCACCATTCCTATGGAACACTCTTCCCCTCTCTGTTAGACTTTCACACAGTCTCTACACTTTCAAAAAATCTTTGAACACTTACATAATCCAGAAAGCATATCATTTAAACTTTCAACAACTTTCCCTCCCTGCACTCTAAATTCTCTCCTGCAACTTTCATCAAAACAAAACACTAATCCCTCAGTGAATACTATCCTAGCAACCTACTTTTCTACCCTACCCTTACATTTTGTCTCACTATACCCCACTCCATTTAGCATGTAAGCTCATTGAGCAGGGCCCTCAACTTGCAGAATTTGGTTGTTCCTGTGGGGAGGTCTTATATAACGTTGTTTTATAATTAGTTGTTATACTTGTCATTGCTGCTATGGAGTTACAGTAAAGAAAGTTAGGCAAAGTATTTGCCTCATTATTAAAATGAGGATGACCTCTTTAATAAAGCTAGGGTAATCTGCAATTATCTTATTTAAAAAAGTACAATTTTATTGGACTAATAAATATAGGTAGAGTAATTGTTTGTGTTGTATTGTCAACATGGAATATAAAAGGTGATGCCAAACATCTTTCGAAGGGCCGTTAACATACAGGAGCATTAGCTAAGCCAGCAGATGCTTCACAGTTGCCATATAACACTTACAGCAACAAAAAAGTTTCACCTGATTAAGTTTCTATTATTTCATCTGCCAATAAAATAATTATTACCAATCTTGCAGCAAGGCATCGAGAATCAATTAATTAAACATTTGTCTTCTGGACAAGTACCATCTGTCATCAATTTGGTAAGCATTCAATTGAAGATAAGCAGATTTGGAATAGGTTTTAATCACATATAACTATATTAGCTCCACTACACTGGATTATTATTTTTAATATAGATAGAGTACTTTTATACGCAGGAAATCAGCATACAATATGTCAATATGGTTAAAACTGTTTTTGTTTAACTCTTTAACCACGTTCACTTCATTGCCTCCACTGCTTTTTTTTTCCCATTTGTGCCAAATTATGTCACAAATAACTGGTACTAGAGGTTGAGTGGCTGTCCAGGCATGTCATTGTTTGCGAATCTCAACATGCAAGTTTATATGCCACAAGATGAGAGCCACCAGTAACAACCATTTATAGAATTTCCCAGCATGCAGCTACTCACAGAGACTGATCACTTGTCAGGAAATATTAATAGGATCATAGCCAGTAATCACTTCCTCCCAGCACAGATATCTTTGCTGTGGGCCTAACAGAGAAACATAAACTCCTAAGCAAGATCTTTCATCAGTGCCTTAGTTAAGCCATGCATTGCAGATCTAACCCATTCTCTGAAAGCATTAGCTGATCACTCTCAGCGAAGGAGCTAATCCTTGCAGTGACAGGTTTAGCTTAGACAGAATGCTTCCAGCTCTCTGCCGGAAGTAGTGAAGGCAAGGGGCGGTACCTAGTGGTCCCCAAGTAAGAAGTCAAACTGTTAAAAAAAAGTTTTGGAAACTCTACAGTGTAGTAGGCTTAGATGTAAATAAACTCATTAGTTATGTGACAGAGTTATAGATGTTTTTCCAAGTTTGTTAATATATTAAACACAATGGTTTCACTTTGTCTAGCCTTGTCCCAGTTATGGAGGGAGAATATGTACATTAGAATATAATGTAGTATGTCTACAGATTGTATTCTCCATGTTTAATACATGTTTGTTACTTTAAAGAATTATTAAGATTAAATGATATATAACATACCTTTGGAATACACTGCCTAGTTATAAATGATAGGCAGCCTGACATTAAAATAGATTTTATATACCATTTGTTACATATAATATAAATAACACTTTGATGGCACAAAATACTTTATTGTGACACAAAAGTAACATATCAAACAAGAACCAAATGATGATCCTGAATGTATTTAATACTTTGTGAACCCAATTCTGGCTATAACTATAGTACAGCTAAGAGTCTTTTAGGACTATTATCTGCAGACTGCACATACAGTTCTTGCAATTTTTTACCATTCTTGGCAACATTTTTCAAGATCTCTCTGGTTGAACAGGTTGAATGTGATTTTTCCACTGATCAAAAGCTAATGAGTCATACAATTCATAACCATCCTTCTTCAGCTTCTTCGGGTGTAGAAGAATTGTTTTAGTCTGATATCCTAGATAAGCTTTTATCGCTAATTACTTCTCCAAGCTCATTCATAAATGTCGGTGTGATAAAGCTGAGCAGAATTACAAAGACAAGCTTTGTTTTTTTAATTAAACCTGACCTTTGGTTGCCATCATCTAAACAGCTTTCCACGTCTACAAATAAACCTAGACCTGTCCTCTTCTCCTGCAAGTACAGATGTTTCCTAGGTGGACCATGACTTGCTGTGACATCTGCAAAACAAATCAATGAAGAACACCTTCTAATGTATACAGATCTAGATTGTCTGAGCACTACATCACTTTTTGGTACTCTTGACAGTATTTGCTTGTCTTTTTATTATGGAGGTTTTTAATGTAACTATTATTGTAATTTATTTGTCCGGTCATATATTTTACAATTTAAAATTGTTTTTAAATTGCTATTATTCTTCACCATTGCAGAAATGTATTATTATTATGCATAAATATTCTAAATAATTTATGGCACACTACACATAAAATTGCATTATTTTTAGTTAAGACTCTTTCAGTATTGAAAATGAGGTGATGTTAGCATGTGCATGGCACTTGTCAACTTTCCCAATATGTTCAAACCTAGTTTAAGCATAACCTCATCTTAAAAGGGGAAAAAACAATCTGGCTTTAAAAGTCAATGTGAAATGGCATTTCCAATATCCTCTACACTAACCTCATTATTATGGAGATAGAGCCACTTACTTTTAGCTAAGCCTTTCAGTCAAACATAATTTTCTGAAGGATAATAAATCCAGCATAGACTGGGAGTTGAATTAAACAGCTAATCCTATTTTACACTATGTCACATACTGTCATGTGTAGTTCTTGTTCTCTGCATTCCAAATTCAAAACATTTATAAATGCATCCCATTTGAGAATGGAGAATCTGTTTTGATGTATGTTTCATTTTATGCTAAATTGCGTGTGCTTATTGCAAAGAAAATAGGGAGCACGGATTAAAACACATTTATGTCATACAGCTAAGCAGTAAACAGAGCATCACAAACCCATAGATGAAATTATTGAGTGCTTTATCATGTCATCAACAAGAGACAAGGAACAGCAGGACAGAAAACAGCAAGCTGAGAAAAGCTGCATCAGGAAATAGTAAAATATTGTGTCATAAGGAGTGATTTCCTTAAAAAAAAATCCATTCAAATATTGTTCTTTGGAGCAGGAAAACAAGTCCTTCATTCATTTGCATTTTTTTTTTTAAATGTTTTTATGATCATTATAATTTCTTATACTTTTCTTAAACTAACCACGAAACCAGGAAATAGTATATGCTGATATTTATTGGTTTAGGATAAAGACAATTTTATAGAAGAAAATGATGTACTTTTTAAGAACATTTCTGCCAATATTGTAACTTTTGTGTTGTATTTGTGTTGAATAGCCTTCCAGCTGAAGTGGTAGAGGTTAAGACAGTAAAGGAGTTTAAGCATGCGTGGGATAGGCATAAGGCTATCCTAACTATAAGATAAGGCTAGGGACTAATGAAAGTATTTAGAAAATTGGGCAAACTAGATGGGCCGAATGGTTCTCATCTGCCGTCACATTCTATGTTTCTATGTATTTATTATACATAAGAATTCAATTATATTATTTTTGTAAATATGAATTTTATTGTTTCGTAGTAAGTCATTATGTCAAAAGTTATCTCATACAATAAAACATTAAGCTTGTCTGCCACGCATGTCCCCGGACAGGGGTTCGGGAGCCTTCTATATTCCCTAGCATTGTTGCTTCCTACCTAGGACCTGTTGCTGGGCTGTTTTCCCTCTGTCTGTGCAGTAATATGATTTAAGTGCGTTGTAAATATCAGAGTTCTAGTTGGTACATCGCTCCAGTCCTGTCATTTCCCTGGGCCTATGTTGTGTCAGTTCTGTCTCCGTGAGCGCATCTCGCAGCCTCCCTGTGTCCGGTGACCTTGTTTTTGTAACGTCTGTTAATCTTGGTATGCTGTAAGTGTTCTTCGTCAGTTTGTTTGGATTGTGCGTCTCTTTTTGTATGTAATATTGTTGGTCTCAGGTGTATGTAGTGTCAGGTTTGCCCAGATGTCTACACTAATTGTCAACCAAGGTTCTCCCCTTTCAGGTCTTGTTCCGCTGGTGATCTATGTATGGGATGGGTTTTGTTGTTTGTTCTGTGTGTGTGGTGGTATTCATCGTGAGGGTGACATGTGTTGTGTGTTTGTGTTTGTCGTTTGCTTGTGTCTTGCTTGCTCTGTTCGGGTTTCCCGTTCTCTAGCATGGTGTTCTGGTGTGGGTAGGTGATCGTGCTCAGTGTTGGTGTGTTTGTTTCTCCTGACTTCATTGCTTATTGTTTGCAGATGATGCATGCCTGTCTTTGTCTGTCTGAGCGAATTCGGGGTGTTGCGTTTTCAGTTCCCTCTTAGTGTTTTGGATGTTTGTGTTTTCCTTTCTCGGGAGTATTTTTTCGTGTGTGTGTTTTCCTTTCATTTGCTGGTTCCAGGGTCTTTAGTCCCTGTTGATTCCATGTAGTGCTTCATGCGTGTGTAGCCGTGTCCCTACTGGGGTGTTGGGGTGCTTGTGGGTGAGGGGGGTTGGATTTAGGTGTACTCCTGTCGCCCCCTCAACAGGCCCGGGTCCCCCCTCTTGTCCCCTATCCTTTCTCCCCGACCGCACCTCCTTTCTTACGTATTGTATAGGAGCCAGGGGCTCCAGAGCTCTGTGTGTTTTTCCCCACTTCCCATTAGGTCAGCTATCTTAGCTTCAGCTGTTCGTATTTCCTCTACCTTGCATCTCCACTGTTCCAATGTGGGTGGGTTCATCTGTTTCCAGTGGGGGATTAGGGATTTGGCCACGTTCAGAAGGTGTCTCATGATCGATCTCTTGTATGCAGGGAATGGTTGATCTGTATGGTGTATGAGTGCTGCTTCCATAGTGAGTTGTGGTGGGTCACCCAACACGGTCCTGATTTCATGTTCGAGGGCCATCCAGTACTGTTTTATCCGGTGACAGGTGTTTGGAATAGTCGGTGCGTATCGACTGATCGAGTGTGGCACTTTTGTGTGCCTCCCAGACTGTCATGGCTGACATACCCTCGGTGATGTTTACCATGAAATAATGGTTCAGGTGTTCCGCTATTTGTGCCCTGAGGGCCACGTCCATCAGCAGGGAGTCGTTTAGCCTCCAGGTGGACCTAGCTGGTCTAAACATGGACGACATCATAGTCAGCTGCGTTGCGCTATGATTGGACCATGGCGTGGTGATGATGTCTGATTTAAGTAGGTAAGTAAGGCCTTCTTGCTGTATGAACACGTAGTCAATTCACGAGTATCTGCTGTGCAACGTTGAGTAGTACGTATAGTCTCGTCCTCCGGGTGTAGTGCCCTTCACGTATCCACCAGTCGTAGGTCCCTGAGTGCTTTATGTATCGTCCTGATTGACGGCTGCGGCATGCTGGTGTGTCCTGTGGAGGAGTCTATTAGGGGCTAAAGGGGTACATTTAGGCCCCCTCCAAGTAGTAGGGTCCCTTCTGTGAATTTGGCCAGTTTCCCCGCCATCTACGGACTCTGTTAGTGTCCCTTACTTGTAAGTCTATTCCTAAGGTCTTTTGTCTTCGGTGCGCAGTGCTATTTCGCCTTTCTTGCGATCTTTGTACATGTCTCATCAGTGTACCAATGCCCCCCCTTCCCCTCTCTCCCCCCTCCCCAACAGTCAATCATGCCCACAGTGCACCCGATGTTCCGTGATCTTAGGTCTCGCCACTTGTTGTGGGAGCATTTCGTGTGTAACTGCTGCCATATATCCAACTGTGTATTGGCAGTGTTTGTTCTGTTTATCTTCCCGTGGTCTTATGTCTTTAGTGGGATCTTTTAGCAAGTGTCAGGTCGGGCGGGAGTTGTAAGGTGGGGGAGCAGCGGGAGTCTATGTCAGCGGTCTTGGTATAGTCAGAGTGTGGTGTGTACTTATCTGCAACGTCGGTGCTTGTGGTGTTCATGGTAGGTCATCCGCTGGTGGCGGTCTACCTTCTCAGGGGGCATTAGTCTTCTGGTTGTTCTGGTTGTTGGTTTCTGCGTGCTGAACGTCTGTGTGGTGACTCGTTCCTGAGCCGTCTCGGTGCTCTGTGTGCCGGCTGTTTGGGCTTCTGGTCTAGCGGGCCCGAGTATCCAGTTGGTTATTTCTGTGTGTGGTAGGCCCATGCTTTGCAGGAATCCAGGTACCTCTTCCGGCCAGCGCAATGGTTTGCATTTGTCGTTGCATCAGGCTAATAGACAAAAGGGGAAGCCCCATTTGTACGAGATGTTTCAGCTTCTCAGTAAATGTGTGACTGGTCTCAGGGCCCTACGGGCCTCCAGCATAAGGGGGAAAGGTCCTGATATAAGGCTACCTCTGCTCCTCAGAATCACCATGCTGACTTGGATCTGGCCCTGGTCATGATCAACTCCTTCACCTTGTATTCGTGGAGGCAGATTAAAACATCTCTGGGTGTATTTTCGGCATTGCGCGCCCTGAGGGCCTTATGCGCCCGATCAAATTCTATGCGTGATGGTGCGTCCAGGCCTAGTATTTCCTTGAATTAAGGTGTCTTACACACTTTCTTCCCCTGTGGATTCTGGCAGGTTGCGAATTCGAATGTTAGACCTGCGTCCCCGGTTGTCGAGGTCTTCAGTCTGTCTCCTAAGGTGTAGAAGCATGGAGCCTTGTCTGGCTACTGCCGCGTTGGATGCTTCGATCCTGCTGGTAATAGCCTGCTGTGCAGTCTCCAGGGTGTGCATGCGCCCATCATGCGCATCTATATCCCTCTTTGTTGTAGTTACCTCAGTGCGAATAGCTTCATGGAGGCTGTCGGAGAGCTTTTGCAGGTCAGATTTAGTGACCATTGCTCCTGTGACTGCTCTTATGTCAGGCCTGATGTCCGCTAGCGAGGGCCCCTATCCTCTGGTGATGGTGGGAGGGCCTGATCGTTGGCCATTTTGGGGCCTGTCGCTTCACGTGGCGGTCTTCCCAGGGTCTGAAGGAAGCCGTCCAGCGGTCCGGTGTGCGAGGTGCCTTGCGATCCCCTCGGGGTTTGGTGGGTGTCAGGGCGTTTGGTGCGTCCCATCGAGATGATTTTGTTTGCGGTTTATGTGCTTATTTTCACTACGTGGGACGGAGCTCTTCGTCGACTTCCAGGCCACGCCCCCATTATATTTTTAATTATGACTCCATAGATAATGTTGATACAAAGATAACTATGCTTAATTTGCTCAATAACCTAATGAATTTCTGTTTCAGTTTCCAAATTCGTAAGTGTTACATGTACAGATCCCTAAATAATTCCTCTAATTAATATCAGAACTTTCCACTAACAGATCCAATACATTATGTTTAAGCTGTTCAATATCAATGAGTATAAACATTTTTGTTGTCAAGAAAATTTAGCCCATAAAGCCTGTCACCCTCACTTATAGTCAAATTAGGATTACCACCCTGTAGTAAAACAAAATTATCTGCTAAAAGCTACTAGTTACTGATATAATAAATGTAAAGTTGCTTAAAATCTAAGCTCATCCATGCTTAGAAACAGGACAGGAAGTGTCACTGGGTGATACCATTCTTACAGGTTGGAAGGGGCAGGGGGGAATAAACACTACCATTTTACTGTTTACATTGCATTAGCATTCCAAAGATTGATAAAGATTGTTATAGCGGTTTTAAATATCTTATTTTAGACATATGAGTGTTAAATGTCTATGTACTATCTATGCATTCCTTCAAAAAAAATTTATGCTAATATTTTTTCAATCAAAAAGTGGTAGGTAGTGAACGGGTTAAGATGAATGTCTTAAACACTATATGCCAATACTAGACCCATCCCTGCATGTGTACATACTGACTGGTGAGTCTGCAGTTTTTATGGTATATTCATCCATGATTTACTCCCAACATTGACCAACTTTTTAACTGTGGGGGAATATTCATATTTAAGTTTTCAGAAAAGTGACAATTCAATTCCATCATTATTTTGATCATATTTATTAAAGTGATAAAACCTGCTAGTTTTCTTTATAGCAAATTCTTCCAAGTGGCACAGAAATATTCATTTACGATTATCATTAAATTGCAGTGGTGGAAAAATCCCTCCACTTTTCTTCCAGACAAAGTGGTGGAAAAATGTATGAATCCGTTGCTTTGCAGACAGTATGGGCACAAAAAAGCAACAGTTAAAATAAAAGGCTGTTAAAAAAAAAAAAACACCAAAAATAATATGTAAAATTGTCAGTAGCACTCCTATAAATTCTAGACACTTAATCTGCACAAAATATCAGCTATACATAAACAGTCAAAATACTAATAATTCTTTTTATTATTTTGCATCTATACAATTTGACTAATAATTTTTATCCATACTACAACATTCAGTAAAGATATATCTTCTAAACAACATGGGTATAATAAAGCTACACTTTTTATATCAGTATATTTATATAACGATTATTTATTGTTATATTATCTATATAATACAGATCAAAATGTGTATGCAAAGTCAAAATAGGCAAATACAGTCAATGAATAAATATTGCATATATTCTTTGTGTCTATTTCGCCTTGTACTTCAATAATTAGCATTAATAATTATTTTCAGAATTTCAGAAATCTGTCATTAAAAAAAAAAAGATGCATGTTCTGTCTCACAGTAATTTGAAAAATGTTCCCAATATTTAATTGGCATATTTAATTATTTTAGTCATCCAATGATTTATTTATTTTGAAAGTCTTTCATTAGGATTAAGGTTTACAGAATACATTTTGAATTTATCAAGAACAGAGCATTGATTTTTAATCTAATACTGCATTCTTTTCAATTATAATGATAAATTGTCAAATACCATCACCTATCAGACAAATTGTGTATGCAAATTGCTAAGCAGTCCGCCACTAGTCAGTCATATGAGCAGAAATATTATTTTGAAGACTGTGGAATTTTGATTTTCTCCAGCAGAAGATGAAAACAACATTTGTTATTCTTCTCAGATGAACTGTGCGCATTCACTTGAAAAGTCTTAAATAGAACAGACAAATTATAAAAATCTGAAATGTGTAACTACAGAAATGGCTTGGAAGAGCAAGGATTTCAATTTGCATTTACATGTGTCAAGGTATGCATTTGTCATACATAATGTAACTTACGAATCAAGGTCTCTAGTAAAAAAAAAAGCTTGTTAATAAACATTTGAATTGTTTTTAATGTAAATTGAAAATATGAAAATTATTATTCCAAATTGCCTCTTTGATGTTCTGTATGTGTTGAATTATTCAGATTAGCGTTGCTGTCTGTGAGGCATATTTATGGGACATACATTTTGATAGAACGCACAGCATTAAAATTATTGCCCTTTTTACAACGGTTCACAAGTTTCAGTGTGAAATTAAAAAAAGAAATGGTGTTGTACTCAAAGTACGTTACTAAACATAAAGTTTTAGGGTTTTTTTTCAGAGAAGAATAAAGGCATTGAAAACATATTTGATAACTTATCCTGTAACTCCATTGTTGGATTATGTGCACCTTTGTGTGTTTAAGTTGGTGCGTGAGTCAGGTATATTACAGCTAAGAGCTTAGCATTCAGATGAATTGCTGTTCAGGTCAAAACAAATCTCCAGGTTTATGTAGCAATTTACCCCAAAATTACTTTTGCTTTTTTTGATAAATAAAAGCTCTTGTATATTTCTCTACAGAGGTACTTATTTTGGAGAGACTATATCCAGCTCATTTGCTCCACGTAACACAAATGATCCAGAAAACAAATGTTGGTGCAAGAAGAAGGAGGCCCACTGTATGCCTGTCAGACGCAACTAATATGGCGAAGGGTGGAACTTAATTACAGATTTGGGGAGAAAAAGTAATGTCTTTTTAGGAGGAAAATCATGAAGTATCTCAGTATACTATGAAGTAGCAAAAGGGGTAAATGCAATATTCAAATAGCTGGATAATCTTAAGAAATCAAAATGAGAAGGTTCCTTTAGAGCTATAAGAAAATGAGTACTTTGAGATATATCATTAATGCAGAGAATATGGCCCTTGTTCTGTAAGCTTTACATGTAGTCTAAAGGCAGTCCTAGGTCTAAGAAGGAGAAATACAGGCTCCATGTTAAAAATCAATCAAAGCATGGGAATGGAGATGTCAGCATAAATATAATTTCAATCAAGCAGGGTTTGGCAACAGCAGTTAACAAGCAGGAGCTCAGGTAGCGCATTGAATCTCACAGTATAACAAAATAACTGAGTGATCTAAAGTTGCACTGAGTTTCGTTTTAGCAGAGATTAATGGTGGCCATGTAATGTGGAGGCATGGTTATGCCCTATACGGAAGTCGGCATAAAAGACTGGACAATCGAGGGAATGACGAAGAAAAGAGTCCTCACAATGGCTTTGCTAAGTCTCATCTATTGAAGTTCATTGATCCAAATAAAAGTAGCTCTTGATGGATTTTCAATCAAGATGGACTCTATAACAATATGTACCTTAAAGAAATTAAGTACAATTCATGTCATTTTTAACCTGACATTCAATACAATCTTACAGTGCTCAACTGCAATGGAAGGCAAAGAAAACAAAAGCCAATGGAGATTTGATTTCTAGTTATATAAATACTGTATAGAATTAGATTCCAAATAAACAGCTGCATTCTGCTCATTTATTATAAATGTCTCATTATCCCATGCCAGAGTCTACAAGTGATTTCCACCTTCATATCTGTTTTATATAGGGTCACAAAGATTGACCCTATCTCCTTCTATTATATATGTAGTAGTTTTCTCAATCTGCAGTTTACCAACTGAACTTGACAGGTGAAAATAATTGTGTGGAAAATCGGACTTTTAAACAATTTCCGTGATTGACATAGAAAGTGAGAAAAAAAATTCAACTTTCACAGGTGAATCATTCATGTTTCAATACTGCCAAAATGTGCATACGTATATAAGTGCATATTTTATGTCGCTATAGTAAAAGTAAAAATAAATATATATTTTTACTTTAATTTGTTTTGTGTCTGAAATGCTTTATTATGCAAACTATAGATTGTAAAATGCTTTTACTTCCAATATTTGCATTTTCCAATTATATTTTTTTATCTCTGGCTTAGTATAATTACCACTCTTCGTAATAAATCCAGAAAAAGAGGACAGTATAAAAAGAATATAAATTGTAAATATGGTACAGTAGCTACGATGGATATGCCACAGTAGTTTCATCCACAGTTCTGTTTCTCCTTAAATGTGGACCATTTACCCAACAGTTTTGCTTTGTGCAGAGTTGTTTTTAATTAATTTAGCCAAAAAGAAATAAATTAACAAGTTAATAAAATGAATGTATTATTAACTTATATGCTAAATTAGATAAGCTTGTTATAGATACTCAAATAATGGGTGCTGATTGTAATTTTATTGATGACCCTAAATTACACAAGAGTAGCACAAGTAGGGGAATTTCATCTTTAGATTCAAATGCCACCAAACTTCTGAGCTTCACATGGCAAAACGCGCTATTTCAATGTGTTAAAAGGAAAAGCGGTGCAACTAAAATACCAAAGTATATTGTCACCACATATACTTAAAATGAACCAGAATATAGTGTAAAAAGAGGTAAAAGCGCACTCAGTAATACCAAAGAAAAGGGTTACCTGTATAATACACAATTATGGTAACCTGCAGTAGATGATCTTGGTATATACTTGAACAGATACAGTAGATAAAATCTATATAAATATACAATAAAACAAACACAACATAGTGTAAGCTGTAAACAATGTAGATAGTGGGTAATTACAGGTTGGAACCACTCACAATATATTGAGCAAGTTGAAAGTTGGCTCAAAACTTATCCGGCATGTATGTCCTATAAATAGACATCAATGGTGCTGTATCTTTAAGGAGAGATCTTCAGAGTTGTCAGAGCCAGGTATTGGAGTAGAAAAATAGATTTCTTCCCTTGGAAAATTGTCTGGTATTTTGTTCAATAAGAAACCAGAGATAAGAAATATATTTACTTAAAAAAGTTTAATTTCTTATCATAAAACAGAATAAAAAAATACACAACGCGTTTCAACCACTTCAGTGTGGTCTTCCTCAGGTGCTGGTCAATATCAGAATGAATTTCCAAACAGTTTATATAGGATACAAATTAAATCACAATTGGTTACACATATGTATCATATTAACAATCATTTCCTTATTTGGTCCTAGCCGGATGTGCACTGCCACCTCCAATATGGCTGCACTTCCGGTTTTCAGACAAACACATCGGGCACCATCTTGGTGTCCCAGCAGAGACAAATACACTGCATAAAAAATCATTCACAAAACTTCACAATAAATACTCTCAGGGAACTAACTCTCCTACCCCACACAGACAGCAACAACAGGATAGGTAGCCTGTTGGTGTCTATGTAGCTCGGAGAATGCATAAATCTTGCAGTGCTGTACTCATGATGTCACTTCCGGTCACGTGTTTCGGAGTCCGTCACGTCACTTCCGGTTTCATCAAGTGGATGTAAAATGTCCCAGTTCAGTATCCATAGTTGTAGTTTATCTTGTCAATGAGTCTATATGTCCCAGAAAGGCTCAAATTGCCATTTTTAAAGAAATAGCAGTCCCATAAAATGACAAGGATATATAGAAATAAAACAGAAAGAGAGAATCAATCAAAACACGCTATTTGCTCGAATGTCTTTAATCCACTGAATAGAGATTACCTTTAATTCTAACACCCATCAATCATATTTTTGTATAAAAATTTTCTTGATTAGGAATCAGTCCTTGCCCTTGGTTAAAAATATTAGCACCAGTCCAATAAGGTGGTCACACCATGCCTCTTTAATTATTGGATTAATGCAATATCGAATATAAGGCCTAATCTAAAATTTTATAAAGTTTGGAAAGACTTTTTATTTATTGTATTGAGAAACACAAAAAGCCATGGAGTCCAATGACAGCGGAGATGTATCAGATATAACGATTTAGGCAACATTCAAGTGTATAATGAGGCATCAGTGTATTAAAATGGGCTCCTTCATTAAAAACAAAAAAATAAAAAAGCTGCAGCAACCTTATATAAAATGTGGAAAATCTATATAAAGATTAACTTGGACGATAGAGATAGATTGCTTTTAGAATTAAATCAAATAAGATAAGAGATTAATTGGAAATGTTATATAAAGAACACCTTAGAAATAAAACAAAAATGTTATTATACCAACAATAGAATATGTAAATCTCTAACAAATCAATTAAAATATAAATGCAAGGCCAAAATAATTAAAACAAATATTGTAAAAAATTAGTTTTCTGTCTTCACAGAAAATCTCAAATACCTTTCAAGACTATTATTGTGATTTATATAATCTTAAAACAAACAATTAATTCCTTTCTTTCAAATTTAAAACTTCCCACAATAAGTAATGAACCATTAAAAATATTAAACCAGCCCATTTCTTAGAGATTAGAGAAGCTATAGAAAGTTTGAAACCAAATAAGGCATCTGGACCAAATGGTTTTACAGCCATCTTTAATAAATAATTTCAGTCCATAGTCACTCCGCTGATATTGAGGTTATCTCTCATTTTCCAAAGATGGAACAATTACTAGAAGAATTCCTCCAAGCCGGTTTTCTTCCAATCCCAAAGGAAGGAACATATCTCACTAAGACCTCCAGCCCATATCACTTATAAATGTAGATGTTACATAGGAATTAGTCAGAGTTTGTCAGGGCCAGGGAAGCTCCAGGTAATATCCATAGAGTATCCATAGAGTCAATAGAAAGAACATCAAAGCATCCTTTTTGGCACTTGATGCCAAAAAGGCATTTTCTGAGGTGGACTGGAACTTTATGGGTTTGGTAATATTGCACTTTGGATTGGTAGGTGATTTTAGAGACCGTGTTAAAATCCTTTATTCAAAGCCTATAGCGATGGTTATAGGTTTGGGGATGATGTCTGAATATTTTCAGATACAAAATGGAACTTGCCAGGATTGCCACTTAGCACAAATGCTTTACATTATGTCGATGGAACCTTTGGCCACCTTAATCAGACAATCAACAAAGGTATGGGGGATTTAGGCAACTTTGGTTGAACATAAGATTACCCTATTTGCAGATGATTCACTCCTGACATTGTAAAACCCTTACGAGTGGATCCTAGCTGCATTAAAATGAATTGCAAACTATAGCAAGTATTCAAATTATAAGATTAACATTGCCAATATGCAGTTTATGACCTTTGGTTTACAGTCACAGGAAACTAATCACCTTAGATCCTTATACATTTTTAAATGGAAACAAAGGACTATCTGAGGGTGAAGATCAGCCACAATATAATAGATATGATTGACTATTACTATCTGCATCTCTTGCAGGAATGTAAAGAATATGTTACATTATGTTGTAAGATTGAGCTATCCTTTTTGGAAAGATTAGAGATTGCAAGAGCTTACATGTTACCAAAACTCGTATAGTTGTTAAGAATCATACCAATTATAGTAAACCCTGAAAATTGCATTACTTTCAAAATTCCATCCTATGCTTTTTTAGGACTAAAAATGTCTAGGAGCTCATCAAAAATACTTGAAAAACAGGGAGAAATGGGGGACTGTTTGTTTCTAATGTCCAAGTTCTACATGATGCTTGTATGATTATACATTTCTTAGCTTGGAGTAAATCAAATACTTTCACTAGCTCATGAATGGAGATTGAGGTCCAGGATTCTAGAACATATATCCTTTTTGATTACTTCTGGTTAGACAACAGACAATATTTTGACCAGTTTACTGTAAATCCAATCGTTAAAGATATGTTAGCTATGGCTAAAAATATTAGGAAAAAAATTAATCAAACAAATGGTATAACACTTTCTTCTTGATAAAACTTTTGTTAGAGGAGCAGTAGGATTAACCAGTTATCTAACATCTTACTTAATGGAAATTTAGTTCATTTTCAACAATAGCAAACCTCATACTCCTAATCCAGTAATACAGTGTTTGCATACCTTAGAATAAAGAACTACTTGTCTACCAAATACATTATTGAACAAAGCTAAATTATGGGGTTCTTAGGTAATTATGACTGTAGCCCATGAAGTTACACAGGCTGCATTATCTGAAATGCCCAGTAGATGGCACATGGACTCAGTATGCTGTTAATAAAACATTGAGCTTTGATCACATGACTTGCTGAAATCAAGAGAGGAGTGTGGCATCATCGCAGGGCCTGTCAGGACTTCCTGCACAGCTCTGAGGGAGGAGGATTCTAAGAGTGACCACATGCTGAGCCAGAGAAAGTACATGTGAGAGACTGTAGCACAGAGATAGGGCCTGGCTGAGAGAACTTGTTTCACCCAAGATCACACCAGCTGAGAGAGGGACCTGCAGGAAAGGAAAGAAGACAAGCACTGAGTCCAGACGTCTGGCGAATCCAGTGAGAGGAGACTGCTGCTGACTGACTGGTTAATCGTGTTGTGAGGGTAAGCCAAGCCTCTCCCTGTATCACCACAGGGCACCTGTCTCCTCACTCACAGTAAAGACTCTGAGGTCCCGTGACGGACATTACACATCTGAGGCTGCTTCAGTGACCCTGTGAAGCAGGACTTATAAGGGCCCCAACTCTCCTATGTGCACCAACGGCCGCTAGGGCGAAGATAAGGGGGTGGGGCGCAGGTGTGCTGGTGGGTGAGTGAGGAAAATCCACATTTTGCATTGTTATCTGTGTTACTCTATTGTATTTTCCTATGTATGTTGGTTCAATTGCTACTTACCATATAAAGTTAGTCCCAGTTAGACTGTGTCAGTCTCATTGCACCAAGTATGTTCCCAGTGGGACCCCACATCCCTACCCCGGATGCTCCACTGGGTGGAGGCACTGCCGCAGACATGTACCCCAGCTCCCAGATAGCGGAGGCTCAGGATCCGCCTGTCAGGCATAGTGAGTTAACTAGGTTTGGGGACCCCAAAGACACTAGGGGGCACCCCCAAAACCCCGTTACAGATGGAGGCACTGCTGAGATGTATTGGGGTACAACCAGTGAGAATAGGTTAAGTCCTCAGGCCACTCCCTCCTTTGTGAAACAGTGGGCCCAGCAAATAAATGTACCATTACAGCAAGCTGTGATGTTATGCAAAGTCCCATCCTGCTGTGAGATGAATCACGCCATCTTGTGTATAGAAATTCGACTGGGAATAGAAATGGCGACCATCAGAGATATCCTGCAGGATTCTGAAGGCCAAACTTACATGTTAATATATTGTCATACGGGCTTGGGAGACCATGAGATGCCTACCAACATTCACTTACATGGAGCCCCGGATGGAGGATGCTCCTTAGTGTACGCTCTCCTTGATAAGAAAGAAAGGGTCTCACTGCAACAACCCTTTAAATTAGAACGGAAAGATTATGTCACAGAAAATTATTCTAAGCTCCTGACCCCCATCTCCGGAAAGGCCGGAGCCATTCCTAAACAAGCTGCCCATCCTCCTAGAGGACAGGGGATGATTACTCCTAAAGCAGAATCTCATCCATCTACAGCATTACTGAAACCAGACAACCCTGAAGTACACACCCTGCCTACAGGAGGTAGTGATGTATCGGACATACTACAGAAACTCTCAGAAGCCATAGTGACGGCAAACCACACCCATAGTTACCACAAACTAAAGGTGTTTTCTGGGAATCAGCCTGTTCCTGCAGGAGAAGAGCCTTTTGAGGTCTGGAAGGATAATGCTATGCAGTTGTTGGAGGAATGGTCTTGTACGGATACCATAAAGAAACAGCGGTTGGTGGAGAGTCTTCGTTTTCCCGCTACAGACATGATAAGACTGTACAAGGGAGTAAATGGGCAAGCTACTGCGCACGACTATCTACAAGTTTTACAGGATGCTTATGGGAAATCAGAAGATTTGGATGATCTGTTGGTTAAGTTCCTAGCCACTAAGCAGAAGGAGCACGAAAAAGCCACTGACTATATCAACCGGTTACAGCTATCGCTTGGAAAGTTATTCCATAAAGGAGCAGTCACTGCCTCTGAGTTGGATGCTCGGCTATCTAAGCAAATTCAGAGAGGTGGTTTGACCAGTAATCCAGTTATGATTGTGCTGAGAGCCAAGTTGGATGATAAAGTTCTGCCTTATTCCCCATTAATAAATACAGCCAGGAGATTGGAAGACCAGATGTGTCCACCCCGACAGAAGGAGAAAGAGAATACAGAACTGTCAGCTCTTAGGAAGAAGGTGGCTGAATTGGAGCTTTTATGCAAATCACCACCAGAGAGAGCAGATCTTCCCCCTGGAAGTGGGGGGCAACACAGGAAGACTCAGAAAAAGCTGTTTCCTGAGGATTCACCCCGCCGAGGGAACTGCTTTAAATGTGGAAAGTCAGGGCATTTTCAGCGGGAGTGCCCTGCGGATTCCATGGAGGTGGATGTGGGGGTGCTGGCAACCGAGCTCGGGGAGACTCAAATGACCAGGTCTTACAAGCGAAGGAAGACCCGGCCTACATATAGTCTATCTGTAGGGGCCAAGATTGGGCCTAAATCTTTGATACACGTGCAAGTGGAAGGAATTCATGCTTCAGCATTGCTAGATACAGGTTCTCAAGTCACCATTATCTACAGAGACTTCTATGAACGTCATTTGAAACACATTCCTATGGAACCTGCAGGAGAGTTTCAGCTATGGGGCGTTGGGTCTCAAGCTCAACCTGTGGAGGGATGCATAAAAGTGACCATAACTATTCCCCAGTTAAATACCGGGATGATATGTCCTATGGAGCTGGAAGCTTTGATATGCCCTGCAGCCAAGAAAGTGTGTGCCCCAATAATATTGGGTACTAATGCAAAGATGGTACAGGATGTATTCAGGGCCTATCTGACAGAAGTGGGAGATGTCTCCTTAGACCGACTGATGGAGGTCAGCCCTGTCCTAGGAAAAGAGTGTCGACGACTAGCCCTTGCAACAAAACCAGGGTTGTGCCACTATTCAGGAACAGAACCTGCATTTGTGAAGCCTGGTGAGACCAAAACCTTACGAGCCATAGCCTCAATGCACCATGAAATGTTGGGGGGAACTGGACAATACCTTATTGAGTCTCTGCCTGAAGAGGATCAGAAGAAGGGGTGGACTCTCATACCTGAGATAAAAGATTGGCGAAAAAGGTGGTGTCGGAGTTTTCCTGTGATGGTACAGAATTTAACCCCCACGGAAATCCGGATTGATCGTCATCAGAAGATTGGTGTAATACACCTTTTAGATCAAGTTTCGTCCATCATGTCTGTGAGTGCAGAACAGACGGATCATGTGAAAGCACCTTTAGATTTTGATCTAGAAGATTCTCCCCTACCACAGCAGTGGAAAGACAGCCTTCGTTCAAAACTGGCCACCCGAGAGGGAGTGTTCTCCAGAGCAGAGATGGACGTGGGGTGTTCTAAGAGTGCCACCCATGCTATAAGACTTGCTGATCCTACTCCTTTCAGAGAAAGGTCAAGAAGAATACCCCCTCGAGATGTGGAAGATGTCCGGGACATACTCCAGCAGATGGAAGGAGCAGGCATCATCACAGAGTCCCGGAGCCCCTATGCCTCACCTATTGTGGTAGTGAGGAAAAAGAATGGTTCAGTTCGGCTATGTGTGGACTACCGTACTCTGAACAAGAGGACTGTGCCAGACCAGTACACCTTGCCCCGGATAGAAGATCTTCTGAACGCCCTATCTGGCAGCCAGTGGTTCAGTGTGCTTGACTTGAGGTCTGGATATTATCAGGTACCCATGAAGAAGGAAGATCAGGAAAAGACAGCTTTCATCTGCCCTTTGGGGTTCTTCCAGTTTACCAGAATGCCACAGGGAGTCACAGGAGCTCCTGCTACTTTTCAGAGGCTGATGGAGAAAACTGTGGGGGATATGAATCCCAAAGAGTGTCTAGTGTATCTAGATGACCTAATTGTTTTCGGGAAGACACCAGAGGAGCATGAACAAAGATTGCTAAAGGTGTTGGATCGACTTCAAGCTGAAGGCCTGAAGCTATCAGTGGACAAATGCCGATTTGCCCAGAACTCTGTCACTTATGTGGGGCACATAGTCTCCGCTGAAGGAGTAGCCACAGATCCTGCTAAAATTGAAGCAGTGCTGAATTGGCCAAGACCAAATAACATCGGTGAGTTGCGGTCCTTTCTCGGATTCTGTGGTTACTACCGAAGGTTCGTGAAAGACTACTCAAAGATTGCTCGAGAGTTACATGACCTGCTGAAGATTATCTCTGACGTAAAGGGTGTTAAGGCACCATATCCTAAAGACCCCTTTGGAGAGAAATGGACTTCAGGATGTGAAGATGCCTTTCTGACACTGAAGAAGAGACTTACAGAAGCTCCTGTCTTAGCCTATGCAGACCCTGAGAAACCATATATCCTCCATGTGGATGCCAGTATGGAAGGCCTAGGGGGTGTACTGCACCAAAGTTATCCAGCAGGATTGAGGCCGGTGGCTTACATAAGTAGGAGTCTTACAGGTGCAGAGAAGAACTATCCAGTCCATAAATTGGAATTTCTGGCACTCAAGTGGGCCATCGTGGATAAGCTGCATGACTATTTGTATGGGGCAACATTCGAAGTAAGGACTGACAACAATCCACTTACCTACATCCAGACTACAGCTAAGCTGGATGCTACAGGACATAGGTGGTTGGCTGCCTTGTCAAACTACAGTTTCAGCCTGAAGTACAAGCCTGGGCCCAAGAATGTCAGCACAGATGCCCTGTCCCGCAGACCTAGACTCCCCCCTCACCAAGAAGAAGAGGAGTGGGAAGAGATCCCTGGGCCGGGGGTAGGAGCCTTTTGTCAGATGTATGTGGTGGCCGAGAGTCAAGAAGAATTTGCCGAGCTAAGAGGGATAGACTCCATTAGCCACTCTCCCGAAGCTGTGCCTGAGGTGTTCCATGCTCCAGTCATGCTTCAACAGTGGTCCAGTATAACCACAGAAGACAAGAGGAAGGCTCAAGCGCAGGACTGGTATATTGGGATAGTTATCAGAGCAATAAAGACTAAGAATCCTAAATTGCTGACTTCTCTACCTGTGAATCAAAGAGAATTATACCGAAGAGAATGGAGCCGACTACATCTCTATAGGGTCGTGAAGTATCATGATCACCCTGACAGAAAACAATTGGTACTACCGCACAGATACCGTGGCATGGTCCTGAGAGCTCTCCACGATCAACATGGGCATCTCGGGGTGGACAAGACCTATGGCCTAGTACAAGATCGGTTCTATTGGCCTCGCATGAGGGAACATGTCGAGCAACATGTAAAGACATGCAGGAGGTGTATCCAGAGGAAGACCCTGCCTGTGAGAGCTGCCCCTATGGGTCATCTGAAAAGCACGGGACCCATGGATCTTGTGTGCATGGACTATCTCTGCATTGAGGACGATACAGCGGGAATTGGAAATGTGCTGGTGGTAACGGACCACTTCACCAGATATGCTCAAGCTTTCCCCACTAAAGACCAAAAGGCTGTGACTGTAGCCAAAGTCCTTTGGCAGAAGTATTTTATTCACTATGGACTACCCAATCGGCTACACTCTGATCAAGGTAGAGACTTTGAGAGTAAGTTGATAAAGGAGCTGTTAGGCATGTTGCAGGTGCAGAAGTCCAGAACCACACCTTATCATCCGGAGGGTGATGCACAGCCAGAACGTTTCAATAGGACCCTCCTAGATATGCTAGGGACTCTCAAGCAAATCGAGAAGCGGTCTTGGAGTAAACATGTGGAAACCATGGTCCACGCATACAACTGTACAAGGTATGAATCTACAGGGTTCTCACCCTATTTCTTAATGTTCGGAAGAGAAGCTTGATTGCCGATAGATGTCCGGTTGGGAGTGTCTCCTGATGGAACAGATTCAACTTCACACTTTCAATATGTGAGGAACCTCAAACAAAACCTTCGTCGGGCCTACGAGTTGGCCACCCAAGCTGCAGCAAAAATGGAAGAACGGAACAAAAGAAGATATGATGCTAAGGTGAGATATCGGGAGATTCAAGCAGGGGATAAAGTTCTTCTCCGGAATCTAGGTGTGCCTGGAAAACACAAACTGGCTGACAGATGGAAAGATACCCTGTTTGAGGTTGTGTCCAAACTGGAAGGACTGCCAGTGTACAACATTCGGGGCCCGGAGGGCCGAATAAAGGCTTGGCATAGAAACCATCTGCTTCCAGTTGTGTATACTGATGAAGAGGAAGAGAGTAGTGAAGAACTGGAGGAAACCCCAGCAGAGAGTCCTGGAAATGGGGCAGAGGAGACCCCGGGAACTCCCAGTGCAGAGGATCAGTGGTGGTCATCACCCGCTGAAGAAACACAACAATTGCCTCCTTTAACTCCTGTGGTTTCACAAAGTCCCGGAACCTCTCCTGGGTCACAAAGTTCTCCAAGGTTGAATCCAGAAAGTCCCTGTTTTGTGCCTGGAACTTCCTTAAAAACTCTACTTCGAGGGCAGGAGTCGAGGTTCCACAGTTGATGTCCCAAGATCCTCTCCCCCAGCGAGAACTGAGACACAGCACCAGAGTGCGGCAACCCCCTAGGGCCCTAGTTTATGATAATATAGGAGAGCCCAGTTATGCCCCGCTGACACAAGCAGCATTTAAAATGGCCACTTTCCTACATGCACTAGCTGAAGTGGTAAATGTTAGTGACTGTTTACCCTAAATAACTAGCTAGCTAGGATGTTACTGTGCTAACTGTACTGTAGGTATGCTAAACCTTTTTCTGTTGAATTTTTGTTAAGCTCCCTGGCTAGGACTTGCCAGTGGAAGGCAAGTATTTTCAAGGGGGAGCATGTAGCCCGTGAAGTTACACAGGCTGCATTATCTGAAATGCCCAGTAGATGGCACATGGACTCAGTATGCTGTTAATAAAACATTGAGCTTTGATCACATGACTTGCTGAAATCAAGAGAGGAGTGTGGCATCATGCAGGGCCTGTCAGGACTTCCTGCACAGCTCTGAGGGAGGAGGATTCTAGGAGTGACCACATGCTGAGCCAGAGAAAGGACATGTGAGAGACTGTAGCACAGAGATAGGACCTGGCTGAGAGAACTTGTTTCACCCAAGATCACACCAGCTGAGAGAGGGACCTGCAGGAAAAAAAAAGAAGACAAGCACTGAGTCCAGACGTCTGGTGAATCCAGTGAGAGGAGACTGCTGCTGACTGACCTGGTTAATCGTGTTGTGAGGGTAAGCCAAGCCTCTCCCTGTATCGCCACAGGGCACCTGTCTCCTCACTCACAGTAAAGACTCTGAGGTCCCGTGACGGACATTACACATTTGAGGCTGCTTCAGTGACCCTGTGAAGCAGGACTTATAAGGGCCCCAACTCTCCTATGTGCACCAACGGCCGCTAGGGCGAAGATAAGGGGGTGGGGCGCAGGTGTGCTGGTGGGTGAGTGAGGAAAATCCACATTTGCATTGTTATCTGTGTTACTCTATTGTATTTTCCTATGTATGTTGGTTCAATTGCTACTTACCATATAAAGTTAGTCCCAGTTAGACTGTGTCAGTCTCATTGCACCAAGTATGTTCCCAGTGGGACCCCACATCCCTACCCCGGATGCTCCACTGGGTGGAGGCACTGCCGCAGACATGTACCCCAGCTCCCAGATAGCGGAGGCTCAGGATCCGCCTGTCAGGCACAGTGAGTTAACTAGGTTTGGGGACCCCAAAGACACTAGGGGGCACCCCCAAAACCCCGTTACATGACTATTTAAAGAGGGTATCCTGCTCCTTAACATGTATTTGTTGTTCTGAAACTTTTGTCAAAGAAGCTCCTTTGATTAAATGGGAATCTGATAAAAAAAAGATCTTTAAAATTCAAGAATGGAGGCAGAGTATAGTTGGTAAAACAGAGTATTCACTGTATAAATTTGAAATAATTATATTATAAATTATTAGACAGGTGGTATATGTTTCCATCTACATTAAACAAGATTAATACTATTATTATATTATATTAATATAATGTTTGGATGCAACAATGGCAAAGCCACCCATATCCATATGTGGAAGGAGTGAATGAATAAGCACTCTTAAATTGAAACTCTTAGAAACAATATTTAGTCACGGTCTCTGTCTGAGCCCCACAGCTCCTCCTATTTTATGTTGATATGCCTAAATGGGGGAAAAAACACAGTTGCATTTATTGGTGCACATATTGCTTTCTTTTAAAATTTGCATAACGAGAAACTAGAAACAAAGAGGCCAATTAAACCGGTTATCAATTTACAATGGAGAAAGGATAGGATATTATATAACAAACAACCAGTTACATTGCTACTTAAAGATATGGGCTTCTTGGGAATATTCCCCTTTTGCAAGGAAAAATCCCCATCATTTACTACAGATCCACTCCTGTGAGAGTAATAGGAATTAGAGAGAAACATATATTATTATTATGATGATATTTATATAGCGCCATCAAATTCCGCATCGCTTTACAATGGGTGGACGAACAGACATGTATTTGTAACCAGACAAGTTGGACACACAGGAACAGAGGGGTTGAGGACCCTGCTCAATGAGCTTACATGCTAGAGGGAGTGGGTTAAAATGACACAAAAAGGTAAGGATAGTATTAGACTAGTGACAGTTGCAGAAGAGGAATCAGTCAGGAGCTATTAACAGTTTAATTGATACGCTTTTATGAAGAAGTGTTTTTTTTTTTTTAAATGCTTTATTTTTGTGTCACGCTGCACAAGTGTCAGAGTCGACATTCAAAACATTTGAAGCATAATCGTCAGTTCCATACATATGGCAATGCACGATAAATGGTACAATATGCAGCATGAACATTTAAAAAAATTATTGAGTACAAGTAGGTATGTAACTCGAGTGACCTCAGTGGTCTATAGAAGTATGGCTATCTGGTGTTATGTGGTGGTTCGTGTTCCACTGAGGAGAACATCCCCGTTGGCTGTGGCTGCCTTGTGTTATGACTCTGGTGTGTCAGTAGTGGGGATGGGGGGGAATTCAGAGCATAATCGTTTGTTTTAACTCCGCCTCTGGCCGATGTCTCACCAAAACTGGCCCCGTGTGTTGCAACTAAGTTGGGTACCTGGTGAGGTGTGTTATGTGAGGTGTCGCTACAAGGGAGTAGTGTGTTATGAACTATAACTCAGCATGGGGTTGAGCCGTATGTGGGGTGATGAACTGTGAGGTAGGGTAACAGTAGGCATTAGAGGAAAGTCAATCCCCTTGCAGGGGTAGTCTCTCATGGTGGTGAGTTAGGCCTTTGCGTCTTCTTAGCACGTCTGGGTGTGAATTACTGTACAGTGGTTGGGTTCAGCTTTGATATCTGCAGGCCTCGTTGGATCGGCGTCGTCAGGATGCCCAAAGTGGTCAGCAGGGCTTCTAGTTCTTGGGCACTGTGTACTCTGTGGGCAGTCCCTTCATGAGAAAAGAGGAGCGCTCGTGGGGTTTCCCATTTGTAAGGTATGTCCTTGTTCCGCAGATGTTGTAGGCAGGGTTGCATTCCTTTTCTCCAGGCTAGGGTATTCCTTGTCAGGTCCGAGAAGACAGACAGCATAGAACCTTCAAAGAGTAGCGGGGTTGTCCCCCAGAGTGCTGTGAGAACCAGTGTTTTTTGTTGAGGCGACTGGAATCGCACGATTAGATCCATAGATGCGGTCGCCGGAGCCCTTGCTGGTTTTGGCAGCCTAAACATTCCATCAATTTGTATAGATTTTGTTTGTTTAGGCGGTAATATGGTTGCCAGTAGGTGTCTAATGAAGTGTGGCGCCTCTGTTAACCCCCCCGAGTCGGGTATCCCTCTGACCTTTACATTGTATCTCCTGCATTATTCTTCCATGGCGTCAATTTTGCTCGTGGCGGTGGTTTGCTGGTATTGTAAATCGGCTAGTTGTTGTTCCACAGCTGACAGCCTTGAGTCTTGAGTGCTGGAAGTGGCCTCAAGCTTTGTTATTTTGGAGGCTGCTATATCAATGGCTGTTTTATAATAGGCCATGTCGGCTGCTATATTTTTGTGCAGTTCTCCCAGCATCTTTTGGAGCAGCAGGTCTGCTATTACTGGGTCACCTGGTTGTGGTGGTGCCTTGGCAGGGTCTGATGTTTTTCTGGCAGTGGCTCCTTTGTCCAGGTCCGCTGTGAAATCCTCAGAGGAGTAAGAAGAAAAATCATCAGCCAGCGCCATTTTGTCCCCTGTGTGAGCTCCGGAGCATTTCTCAGATGTCCCGGTTTGTAGGGACTTTGTCCGCCCTCGTTTTCTTTGTTTTTTTGTCCATATCGATCCGTGGAACTGCTGCCGAGGTGAGTGTCCAATTTGGGGCTCGTTACCCCCGTTTAATAGCTCAATTTCTCCGGCTGAGACACGGAGCTCCGAGGCATGCGACCATCTCTTTCTCTGGCTAGCTCGCCCCCCAAGAAGTGGGTTTTTAACGATATTTTGAAGGAGTGGAGACTGGGTGAGCATCTAACGGAGGAGGGAAGTGAGTTCCACAGGAACGGTGCAGCCCTCGAGAAATCTTGAAGATGAGCATCAGAGGTGGGAGTACGGACAGAAGATCTTCAGCAGATCGTAAGGGCATACTTGTGTATAAGGGAGGATAGATAGGTGGGAGCAGCATTATGTAGAGATTTGAAAGCAAGAACCAGAATTTTAAATTGAGCTCTATATTTTATAGGAAGCCAATGTAGGGACTGACAGAAGGGTGAGGCATGGGAGGTGCGGGCGGACAGGAAGATGAGCCTCGCCGCCGCATTCATTATGGACTGTAACGGCGCAAGTTGGGAGCACGTAAGACCACTGAGAAGCGGATTACAGTAGTCAAGGCGAGAAAGGACAGTGGAATGGACCAACATCTTAGTCGCATCTGGCGTTAAGTAGGGGCGGATGCGCACAATGTTTTTGAGATGGAAATGACAGGATTTGGCGATAGATTGAACATGAGGCTTGAAGGAGAGGTCGGAGTCAAAGAGAACACCTAGGCACATATCATCTTTAGATCACCAGTAGCAATTCAGAATTTCCCCTCTTCCCTCTGCATCAGCATGAGAGATGAATGATAGTATTATCATTGCCTCTGAATTTGTATAAACCTAATACGTATTTATTATTGGTATTTGCTATAATGTTGATGTTACATAGTTACATAGCTGAAAAGAGACTTGCGTCCATCAAGTTCAGCCTTCCTCACATTTTTTTTTGCTGTTGATCCAGAAAAAGGCAAAAAAACCCAGTTTGAAGCACAATTTTGCAACAAGCTAGGAACAAAATTCCTTCTTGACCCCAGAATGGCAGTCAGATTTATCCTTGGATCAAGCAGTTATTACCCTACATTGAAAGATTATATCCTTGAATGTTCTATTTTTGCAAGTATGCATCTAGTAGCTGTTTGAACATCTGTATGGACTCTGATAAAACCACTTCAGGCAGAGAATTCCACATCCTGATTGTTCTTACAGTAAAAAAACCTTTCCTTTGCCTTAGACAAAATCTTCTTTCTTCTAG